AGCATACGCCCTTATCATTTTCATACACGCCAGCAGTGCCACCCAGATTACGCACAACGCAGCTTCTCATTGCACTTTCGTGCTACATACAAATTGTTTCAATCTATGGTATCATTTTCTCAAAAGTGTTCGACTACCTCCTTAGCACCTCCAAGACGTCAATGGGCTCATATCAATCATCCCCATTGACCCTCTACATCGGAGGTCTACCCATTCCTCCCAATGAAACGTTATCAGGAAATCTGCTCGTTCACCTCATCGAGCATCAGCTTCACCAAATTGAGCAGCTCATGGGCCTGCCCGAGCATTATAGAGTATCTGCTAGAGCTAAAGACACTAAAGATGGAGAATTGGGGTTATTCGGGAGTCAGCACAGTCAGTCTCTGCTCAACGCCGCGATACAGCTGGGAGAAGATAGAGACGGGAACCATGACGACATAAGATGCGTCCGGGCATTAAAGGTAGTGATGCGCCAGATTAAAGATTTTTAGACACCTGTTTATAGAAGTTCTGGGGGTTTGTTCAAAAAGATTGCTATAGATTTCTAATAGAGTAAAACTTACAAGTCTAAAGATTCAGTTGGCTCACGTGTCTGAACTGGTGATTGAACTGGTGAATTTTCTGATCTTACTGAGTCATCGTGGATGATAATTGTGCCGTGCCCTCTCATCCCGTGGGAGCGTAATCCTGGTTGCCCAGGACTTTTGTGGTGGTGGTGAGAGATGACTCGTGGTGTCAGCATTGTGTGGGATTCGTCGGTGATCTCGGAAGAGCTGTTTCAGATTATTGAAGAACGGTACGAAGTTCTTTGAGGAAAGGAAGAGTAAATATTCTCTTGGGAACAACAGAGATCGTGTCAAACGATTGTTATGACATAATATATTTATACCATAGCCTCCTTTACTGGGCCTCAATCACGTTCTCATCATCACTTCTCCATGTGATCTTCACCTCAGTCTCCAAATTCCGTCGACGGGGAGTTTGGCTCTCGCTGTATTTTCGCCGAAAATCCGCTCGGAAATTAAGCCAGTGGGTGGGCTCCACTTTGGCATCTAGGAACATGTGAGACTAACGGGATTAGTAGAGGCTAGCGGTATTCGAGTCTGCTAAACCCGCGGGCATTAGAGGCAGCATGTAGAGTAACCCCAACAGGGATATGAGCATGTTCCTGTGACAAATACGATCTGTCATAATACGTCACAACACCCAATTCCCGTAAGCAAAACATGCCGAGCAAGGGTGAAACAAAGCCCTCATAGTTATCAGATTTGCATTGTGAGTGCGTCGAGAAGAAATCCTTCAATGGCAACAATCCGAGTTGCTGAAATCCTTCTTGCTAACTTTGCCTGCCGCACTTCCATTAGTCTTAGATCTGACTACATACAGCATCTATGTACTGGCCATACGTGAGCTGCCGCTTATCACCACGCGTGGAGCTGCAAGGTATGTGCAAGGCACAGCAGAGACTCAGCTTCCCAAAAGGGCCATGACCTGACACTCAAAGCAAGGCATGGCAACACCTGTTTAGGAACACGACTTGCCTGTTTTATCAGATCTCTCTTTTCTGCCTGCTAGTCCTATATAGTCTTGGTGGGCTAGGTAGTTAACTCCGCGCATGCAACGCAGCCAAACTCTACCGGTTCATACCGGCATATGCGCACGCCCCCCACTCTTCAGAGTTGTGATTCGATTCTGAAAATTCGAATAATATCGCCATTTCCCGTAGTTAGTCGCCAATTGCGCCATGCGGACCGAGCCTTCCGATGACGCATTTCGGCCGAAAGGACAACAGGGTCGACATCCCACGCTAGATATGTAAGGAAACCAGGTTTGAGCGGCATTGGGGGACTCAGCACTAAAAGATGACGGCAGCGCTGTCCCCGAGTAAATGCCGGCACTGAAAAAAGGATCGCGATTTCGGAGGAACTGGCATAGCGAGAACTAAGGTGTTTGCCAAGGTGTCAGTAGCGGATGATCTGCCGTACCAAGCAAGGTCCAGGCTCACATCGTGACTATCAAGGTGCTGGCTTGGCAAGATGATTTAGAACCGATATCGATAACGGCGGTAGATCAGATCACTAAACAATTTGACGTCCCGGCCTTACGTCAAGGCCTCAAGGTGATTGACGACGCGTTATGCTAAAAGAATTGAGTCACGGCGGTTTAAGTTAAGCTTTAAGCTAAAATTGATTGACATATGTGTGAGGTTATCATTGGCCAGAAGGGGAGGCTCTGCGAGGCGATCGAAGAAATGTGTTCTATAATTCCCGCGATAACAAAGCAAGACATTGATACCGTCTGCTTTGATTGAGTCATGCCACTTGTTCTCATTAGTCATATTATCACTTACACGCTGACCGACCGTATTGTGTTACTTCGGTGCCGCGTATTCGTATGTAAAGTCTTTGTATTGAAGATGATCTATGTTACCCTGCACTTGCATCGAGGATCAGCTTCGCGGCGCTGCCTTGATGATACACGCGGTCTTACTGTGGGCAAAGTCTGGATAGCTTGAGACGCGACCGCAGTAGCCAGTATAAAATAGTCTGATTCGGGAGCGTGCGCTCTTTAGATAAAAGGGGCCGAGAAGGAATGGTAAGGCGTGAAGCACTCTGAGCAAAATGTAGCAACGATCACCACTGTATTTGAGGCTATATCTATCTCATATTCTATCCATCAATATCATGTTTTCTGCATCCTGTCTTCTAATAAACACTCTCCAATGCGCCTTTTGCGTTCAAGATGGATAGATGAGCTGGGGTAATATCGCTGATCTTGCTGCATCCAGCAAGTCCCATACACAGCTTGAACTCGTTAATCAGCAGGTCAAGGGCCAAGCCAACACCATTGGAACCGTCATACTAAGTCATCAATTAGTTCTTGTTTCAGAGTTGGCAGTAGTTGTTATAAAACTTACAGCAAGACCCCAAATGGCGATTCTGCCGACAAAGACAAAGTCAGCCCCGAGTGCAACAGCCTTGAAAATATCCGAGCCACGTCTGAAGCCACCATCAATGGCAATGCGCGTCTTGCCCTTGGCAATAGGTGCGATCTCGCGGAGTATGTCGATTGTAGCTGGGGTTGTATCTAGCTGTCGGCCTCCATGGTTGGAGATGATGATGCCATCAACTCCCTGCTCAATGGCAATCTGAGCGTCGAGGGGAGATGTGACTAGACGTGTTGGTCAGTATGGGTCTTTGACATTGACGAAGATTATGTGCTTACCTCCCTTGACCCAAATCTCAAGGTCAGTTTGGCTTTTCATCCATGCAATCTTCTCTTCCCAAGTAGCACCGGTGTCTAGAGCATGTTAGTAAGCACAACCACGCATTCAAAAGGATCTACATACCAAAAGAAAGGTCAGGAATGCCACCGCCCAGTCCACCAGATGCTGACTGGGTCTGAGCACTCAGGTTGGGAAAGCTAAATCCCGGAGGGACACTGAACCCATTTCGAAGATCATCCAGCCTCCTGCCAAACATGGGAGCATCCACTGTCAATACGACAGCTTTGTACCCGGCAGCTGGAGCAAGTTCATTAACAAGATTCTTTAGCGAATGGCAAGTAAGAAAACCGACCTTTGGCACGGTCGAGCAAGTTGGTGGTGATCTGCCGATTCTTGAACGGGCTAACCTGAATAGCATAGGGCGTCGACCCATCCGAGCTCTGTCCAGATACATCCTCAAGGGTATCATTCGACAGAGCAGACAGAATCATGGGTATGCGGCGTGCAGCACAAGCTTTCGATGTTCCAACCTCTCCATCAGCATGCGCAAGACGATGCATCGCCGACGGAGAAACACCTAGAGGCAACGCAGCCTTGGTACCCCAGAGGGTAGTAGTCATATCGATGTTTGAAACATTGCGGAGAACGCGAGGACGAAGCAAGTACCGGTCAAACGCAGCCTCATTACTCGCGAGACTAAGACCGCGTAAGTGCTTCAGGAACCGAAAGCTTAAGAAGCGCTTGGGTGTAACTTACGTGATGTTATCCATGGCCCCGCCGTTGTAGTAGTCTGCAGGCATTAGCTGACGATGCCGAGATCGGAGGACTGGGTTCTCGCTCACCTCTGTACATCTGGGACATCTTGTCCGATGCGGCCTGCTTGAGGTCCTGGATAGAGAAGATTTGCGGCTTGGAGGATGTGGCGTCAGACATCTTGGCGGATTGGATGGGCAGATTGGTACGAGACATGAGCCACGGTGTTTTGTCAGTGAATTACTCAAGCAATATTCGACTCGCTGCAATGGGTACTATTCAGGTTTATATGATAAGTTTTACGAATGCAACATATTAATGCACACACAGATGAACATCTAGCGGATATTATCGTATGTTTAACTTGGTTGCAATGCAGTAAATCTTCCGAAACTCAGTCATGATATACAACGTCTCTCCGACGGGGGCCAGTTCAACAGATTGACTTCTGGAGCCGTATTAGCCTCCGAGAGAGAAACTGCTCATGTGGGGTCAAGTCATGCAGTGTCGGACGTCCGATCTCACGCTGGACACGGATAAGTCGGGAGACTTCCGTAAGCTAATGCACAAATCACGACACTAGTCGGAAAGTTATTTTTATCTTGAACATCTTATCAATCAGAGCACTTCTTTCCTCAGAAGAGATCCTCTTTTAGGACGCTGACTCTCGGAACGAACAAGTCTGGAGGATTGCGGCGACGGGTCCAGACCTAATTGGAAGTGCTGATACATGACGATTATGATGATCTGATAGTGTATGACTGGATTTTCGTGTTTTTCTTTCATAATAGTATTGATTGATTGATAATTAAAGCTTATGGCGTCTCAACGGGACACATCAAGCCGATTGATAATATTATTATGTTATTGTAGACATGGCTGACTGAGAATTAATAGGTAGTATTTGCAGGTAAACAGGCATGTAATATCAATATTTCCCAATGTACTATGCAAGCATTTCATAAACGATATGTCAATAGGTAGCAATGTATACATCTCAATAGCTGACATGAAAGTAAACTCAATATCCCCATTGCTTCAACCAAATTTCAAACCAAGTTGATGAGACAGGCTCCATGCAAGCCAAAATAGAACTCTGTGCCAACGTGTTTCCCTTAGACCACTCAAGACCCCGAGATCCTTCTTTTCCAGAGGCCAGCAGTTCAAAAAATGCCAACAACTTCAGGCCACTCTGAGCCCCCCTCGCAGTCTCAGATGATCCTTCACTGACTTCCTTCACGATAGTCTTCTCAGCACCCCGCAAACGGTTGATCCATTCTTGTAGAGGAACAATCTCAAACGTTTCTGACAAAGAAGCCTCAAGATGAGCTTTGAGACTAGGTAAAGTGTCTATCCAGCTGGGTGTCCGGGGGTTAAGTAGATTGTAGTAATTCTCTTGTCCTACGACTGGGTTCACGGGAACCACGAGTTGCCCAATGACTTCTGTTAGGAGATCAATGGGGATCCAGTCCAAAATGCTTGCAGAGCCAAGATCTAGTGGTAGAGCTCTCAGATAGACGGAAGCATCGATGATCTAAAGGAGATATTAGCTCAACGGTATTTTATAACCTGAGTATGGATACTTACAGCAGGAACCCAATCTCGTCGAGTCCATATGCTACCCTCGCCAAGAGTCCTGACCGGACCAGCGACTTGGCCAACTCGTAGAACAGAGAGACTCAATACACCAGCTCGAGCGGCCTTGGTAAGGAGATGCTCAGCTACAAGCTTTGATGAACCATACCCATTGATTGGCGCATCAAATCGGGGAATGTTTGCTTCTGGTACCGGGCCTAGGAGGTCATATGGCCAGTTCATGGCAGCGCTGATAGACGACACGAAAAAGAAGTGGATCTTGTGACGAGTCTCTCGGCAAATATCAACAAGACTCTTGAGACCGACGAACTGGGGCTCGAAGGAGGCGAGAGGGAGATTGAAGTTGACCTCCCAAGCGTTATCTATAGTCGAGGTCAGCCTTTAGTAAATTGCTGTATAAGTTGCCCGACTTACGTATGATAGCAGTGGCTTCATTCCTGATCTCCTTGAGATCATCTTGACTCAAACCCAGATTCTCCGAGGCCACGTCGTAACGGACAAACTTGGCCTTGCTCTGCCAGTTTGACGTAAGGCCTTTTGACTTGGATGAGTCCACTTGACGTTGGAAGGCATCGGCGCTGCGGTTCAAGCACCAAACCTTGGCGACCTTGTCATTGTTACAAAGAACGTCAAGCAGATACGACCCAATCTCCCCAGTTGTACCTGTGAGGACAATATGCTCCTTCGCTTCGCGAGGTGGTTCGAAAGCCTGAGCGTATTTGGCAAGCATCTCACGAGTAACTTCGCTATGATGAACTTTGTCCTGCGGCCCGTGTTCAAGATGAGACCAAACCGAATGAGCAAGCTGAGAGATGGTTGGGTTGGTATAAATAGTACCCGCTTCGACTTCAAGTGGCTGGTCAAAGGCAGAACTGAGAAGTCCGGCTAGTCGAATAACATGAAGTGAGTCAAAACCTCGGGTGAAGATATTGTCATCGTCCTTGAGGTCAACCAAACCAGACACAGTCTCAATTGCTTGTCGAATACCGGAACGGACAACATCTTCCGTTGTTCCGTTGATGTGAACAGAAGGCTTACCATGGGTAGACCTGTCGTAGATAGCGTTGATATCGGCAGTGAATGCTTTCTCTGTCTCATTGCGAGCGAGGGTACCCTTTGGAGTACGAGGAAATGGAGTTCGAACGACCTTGACAAAGTCACGATGAATCTGAGCAAACGCTGGGAGGGCCTTGTTAACCTCCTCAAATGTTGGCCAGACGTTGTCAATGATGGCGTCGTCTGAGTTCTCGAGGCTGCTTTGGTCAGGGTATAGTAGGGCAGCTGTTTGGAAACGGCCACGGCCAGTGAGGTAAGCGGCAGCAATCCATGGATGGCTGATGAGCTGTCCTTCAGCAGCAAGAGGGTTGAACTTTTCCCCGTTGGAGAGGATGATCAGATCATCACGTCGCATCTCATACTTCCAGAGATCAGGATGTTTTGGGTGTCGTGAGTACAAGTCCTTTGTCTCCCAGATATCAAGATCGGGGAACGTCTTGAAGACAGGTTGAGTAGCAGAAAGCTTGGGGTTCTGGACAAACACAAGCTCAGACAGATCTTCGGAGTAAGGACGCATCTCAACACCTGTCCGTGGATGGAAGTAATAGTAAGCCCATTCATCAGGATGCGTGACAACGGATGCAAGCCACTGGCCCTCCGTCATGCCCATGGTTTGCATGATAGGCACACGCGGGTGAATTAAGTCGCCGACGGACTGTGGAATAGGTCCTCCAGCTGACGTGATAAACTTGAGTTTCGAGAGCTTCTCGAGCACACGTGGAGACTTGGAGATATCCTGTAGGACACTAGGCGAGATAAAGGCTGAGTCGAGTGAGATATGGTCAAGCGCATCTTCGATGACATGCTGCATGATTGGTCCTACAGACGGGAGAACAACGGTCCAGTTGAAGAAGACGGCTGAGTACAGACCGAGACAGATTCCAGCAACCTAAAGTACACACATCAGAACCTGTTTCAGATACAACAAGACGATACTTACGTGGAAGAGAGGCATGGCACACAACTGTCTCGTGCCAGTCCACTCAACACCAGTTGGCCTCTTTCCCTTCGTAGGCTCCATCAAGTGGAAGCCATCAACAGTCGCAGCAGTCTCAAGATAGACCGGCACAAGCTTAGGCAGACCAGTAGACCCTGATGTGTGGAGCAGTGCAAGGACGTCCGACTTTCCTTCATTCCAGGATTTCTGGTAGATGTAGGGTTTGGTGAGTGCTGGATCTAGGAGCTGGGATAACTCGGGCGCTTCAACACTTGGGATCTGGAGGTCTTGGAGGAATCCATGGTGATCTAGGCCAGATGAAGCGATCCAGAACTCGCAACCAGACTGTTTGATCAGTGATACGTGCCCCTCGATACTGTTGCGTGGTGAGGAGAGTAACAGCTAATTGGTTAGATACTAAGAACATTGCAAGTAGATTAATGGGCCTTACTCTGTGCCCCAGCTTTGTAGAAGCAATCATCATGATGAAATATCTCAGGTCGTCTGAAGCTCATCAGTAGCTGCCTGCAGTAGAATAGCAAGGCTAACTTACTCTGACCAATGTAGGCGATTGTTTTAGATACCGTTGGCGATCCAAGTTGAGAATCAAGCCATCCGCAAAGCCGGTTGATAGAGTTGGCAAAGATCTTGGTGGTGACTTCATCATAACCTTGCGAGGGTTGCCCGTTGCGAGGAGTGTAGAAAAGCACGCGATCAGGCTCGTCCCGTGCAATCTCGTCGATTACAACGGGAAGAAGTCTGTGACCATAGGCGGGTAAGTGGGCAATTGAACCCATGGCGTTGGCAGGATGTTTTACAAGAGATGAGAGGGAAGATAATGCTTGCTTTGCTATCTTCTGCATAGAGATTGTTTTGAGAATGATAGCTAAGCAGGGTTTGGCTTCAAAGCAATGCTAATCAAGCTATAAACATGCCTTGGGCTTATCTTACTTGTACAAGTCCTTCTTCTATGTGCTGCTGTGTTGCTAAATGCCACGCTTCTCGGACCTCGTTTGCAAACCGAGGTTGTTGATATGCACGTTACTTAACAAGCAACCGAACGGAACCTTTTCTCGGCTATATTCAGCGATCTTCCAGTAAGTTCAAGCTATCGTATTAATGGTTCAAATCAGCATGGAGTATGTGATTAACGCGATTGGTCGTTGGAAGCTTGTGCGGGGACCGGACCGGAGCTGACGTGCATATGGATCATGGGGAAGTGTCCGATTTCTCCACTCGGCGGCGTTCGGTAACGGAGCCGGACTGAAGATCCCGGTGGATCTGACAATACGAAATTCAGTTCGAGCCGAGGAAATACCTTTGAACTGGATCGAAAATGTATGTCGTATTAAAGACCTATCTCGAACGATATTCTTCTCTGCCCAGGACAACACTAGCAGGCTTTCTCTTTCCCTTTCTTGTGCTTTACATCCTTGAACAAAAGTTATTCAAAATGGCAGAGCAAGTCTTTCAGAACTTTGAAACCCTTCAGCTGCATGCTGGGTATGGTTCCTGTGGATATCTCGTCGTCAAAAGCTGACCTTTGCCAGATACACACCGGATCCTCACACGAGGTCCACTGCTGTTCCCATCTATGCGACATCTGTTAGTCCTGTCCAAGATCAAGATTCCGCAGACTCGGCTACTGACCTTCACTCAGAGCTATACTTTCAATGATTCTGCGCATGGTGCCCGTCTCTTCGGCCTCAAGGAGCTCGGCAACATCTACAGTCGTCTCATGAACGTAAGCAACACACACACCCCATAGCCCTTGGGTTCATAAACTGACTTCACCTTTCAGCCTACTGTTGATGTCTTCGAGAAGCGAATTGCTGCCCTAGAGGGCGGTATTGCCGCTGCTGCAACATCCTCCGGTCAAGCTGCGCAGTTCCTCACCATTGCCACTCTCGCCAAAGCCGGTGATAATATAGTTGCCAGCTCGCATCTGTACGGTGGCACATACAACCAGCTCAACGTGCTACTTCCCCGGTTTGGCATCAAAACCAAGTTCGTGCGAAGTGGCAAGCTTGAAGACTATGCTGCTGCTATCGATGACCAGACCCGTGCCATTTATGTCGAGAGCATGAGCAACCCTGACTATGTCGTGCCCGACTTTGAGGGTATTGCAAAGATCGCTCATGAGCATGGTATTCCCCTTGTTGTAAGTTGACCGCTACTATTTCGTTGAGCAGGGCTGATTGGGCAAAGGTCGACAACACTCTTGGTGCAGGTGGCTACTATATCCGTCCCATTGAGCACGGCGCTGACATCGTTGTCCACTCTGCGACCAAGTGGATTGGAGGCCATGGTACTACCATTGGTGGAGTGATTGTCGACAGTGGCCGCTTCAACTGGAACAAACACTCAGATCGCTTCCCCGAGATGGTTGAGCCTTCACCCTCGTATCACGGCCTTAAGTACTGGGAGGCTTTCGGTCCTGCTACCTTCATCACTCGAATCCGCGTTGAGATGCTTCGCGACATCGGCGCTTGTCTCAGCCCCTTCTCCGCACAGCAACTCATCCTCGGTATTGAGACTCTCGGTCTTCGGGCTGAACGCCATGCGCAAAACACAGAGAAGTTAGCCAAGTACTTTGAGTCCAGCCCCAATGTGAGCTGGGTCCTCTGGCCCGGTTCTGAGTCTCACCCAACATATGCCCAGGCCAAGAAATATCTGACAAGAGGATTCGGCGCTATGTTAAGTATCGGAGTCAAGGGAGATGCTTCGGCTGGAAGCAAGGTTGTGGATGGTCTCAAGCTCGTGTCCAATCTTGCCAACGTGGGTGATGCCAAGAGTCTTGCTATTCACCCTTGGTCAACTACGCATGAACAGTTGTCCGAGGATGAGAGGCTCGCTTCTGGTGTGACGGAGGATATGATTCGTGTCTCTGTTGGTATTGAGCATGTGGATGACATTATTGCCGATTTCGAGCAGTCTTTCCAGAAGGCGTATGGATCTTAGTGTCGCGGTAGCCTTGGTGGACTTTGCAGCCAGATACGTAGAGAAGTGGCGGAAAGGATTGCTATATATATACACTTCAGTTCGTCCAAGGCAATTCATATCTACAATCACACGCCGTTGAATTCACATGATGTCACCAGTCTGTTGTACAATTGAGAATTGATAAGGGGAATTAGTCGACCTATGATTGGTATTGTCCTCTTCCAAATCAAAATTCGCAGGAGCGTGACTCCAACACTAGATAGTATGGTGCGAGATCCCGCTTAATCGGAATTAGCTATGAGTAGGATACGCCTACGATATTTTGGCGTTATCTATATAGAAGCACTACCAATGAACTTTAATCAAAGGACTTCATCACGGCCTATCAAAGTACCTAATAAGTATACATTCGTCTCATTTTATTTACCCTAAATCTCTAACTACCTATTTTCTTCACTATAAAACAATATCACAGCGACGTGAGGCACTAGACTTCTGGTGTCTCCACCTGTGAGTGTCTTCCATTGTCTTATGCAACTTTCTCTAAATATGTTTGTGAACCTCTTGGGCCATTACACATGCATCAAGAGCAAAGTCAGTCGTAGTAAAATAACGACGTAACCAAACCCTTGGACAGCTCACAGAAAAGCCTCATATCCAACGGCAATGCCGATTACTCCCAGATCAGCAAATACTGGTAGTTGCATATCGGACAGCTACATACATGATCACGATCTAGGGCGGTGGGGCTTTGGCTAGATGCGCTCGAGAGCCGAAGATGAAGTGTATACGGAGACCGAAGCTCCACTATAAACTTCCGGTGCCGATGACCGAAGACACCGACCTATAACCAATCGGAGTAAGAGTTTGTGACGAGGTATCCACTACCAGCTGTATGTTAACCCGCTGAAGCGTAAGCTTCCGTTATTCTGCAATTTCGCAGGAATAATAATAGTACAACATTGCTCTAAATTGCCAACCAGATAAATGTGAGAATTAAATCCTTCCGGCATGAGCTGCAGAAATTAATTCTAAAGCTGCGGGTTTGCGGTCGCTATACGGATATCGGGTCATGGTTTCGGAAGACCTGAAAGGCTCCGAGGTAGCGCTGTAAGTTAGTGCATCCTCCACTGAGAGTCCTACAGACAATGTCTCCCAGATTCACAGGACCGCTAGACAATTGAGCATTATAACAGAAGCGCGATAAGAAGACCAACAGTGATTATCGCAAGCAAGAATCAATAGAATTCCCCCATCCATCTCCTGTTTCTTTCTGTACTCGCGATCACAATCATGGGCGGTGAAGTCTCAAACAAGACCTGGGTCTTCAAGAAGTCTCCCTCTAGCCTACCAGAGCCCGGCGTCCATACCGCCTTTGAGGATCGCCCCTTGAGCCTGGTCGCACCACCCGGCGGTCTCGTCATCAAGCTCCTCACAGCTGGTCTCGACCCCCATCAGAGAGACCGTATGAGAGGAGCTGGCAACGTCGACTACGTACCCGGCTATGAAGTCAACGAGCCCATCACCAACTTCTCCATCGCAAAGGTCATCCGCTCAGACAACGATGCTTTTGAGGAGGGAAGCTTGATCGCTGGTAGTCTTCCCATCGCTGAGTATGGCATCATCCCTAAAGAGCTTATTGATGCTAGAGCTATGGCGTCACCGCTTGTTTGGAAGGTCTCCAACGACTACAACCTGGATGTTAAGCACTATGTTGGTACCCTTGGTCTGGCTGGTATGACTGCTTGGAACTCCTTCTACGGTCTAGTCAAGCCCGTCAAGGGTGAAACAATCTGGGTCAATGCTGCGTCATCCTCTGTCGGCGAGGTTGTTGTTCAACTCGCCAAGATCGAAGGCATGAAGGTCATTGCCAGTGTAAGCTCTGACGATAAGCTCGACTACGTGGTCAATGAGCTGGGTGCCGATGTCGGCTTTAACTACCGAAAGGAACCTGTTGGCAAAGCCCTCAAGCGTCTTGCACCAGATGGACTAGACGTTGTCTTTGAGAACGTTGGCGGTGATCATTTCCAAGCTGCCATTGAGAACATGAAGTGGTTCGGCCGCATCATCAGCTGTGGAACAGTAAGTCACTCCTCAGTCACCACAGTCAATTCACTCACACTATCTAGGCATCTCAGTACAACAAACCAGTTGAGGAGCAGTATGGTGTCACCAACCTGTCAGAGATCTTCCGTCGTCGCATCAAGATTCAGGGTTTCATTTTCTGGGATGACAACATTTACACCGACAACATTGAAAACTTCAAGGCTACTATGCCGAAATGGGTTTCGGAGGGAAAGATCAAGTCCCGTTATACTCAATTTGAAGGTATCGAGCAGGCTGACAAGGCGTTTTTGTCCATGTTCACTGGTGGAAGTCATGGTAAGACGGTGCTCAAGATTAGCGACCCTGGATTGTGAGTGAAGAGTACTGGGTTGAGGAAATACGATGGTAGTAGTTAAATATGGGTCCATGTTCCTAAATGAAAAGTGCCATGTTTCTATGTTATGTTCAAACCCTGTCACTAGAGACAGTTTGCGGCTGCTTATTCCCAAGGGTGTATGTTCACTTTAACCCCGGCTCCATCTCGATATTTATCGAGTGCCTTGTTCACAGCATCTGCATCCAAACCTTTAATAACCTCGAAGCTACTTGAGTGAAGTTTTCCTTCGTTATACCAACGAGGAACCTCCTCCCAGAATTTCGTGGTCAGCTCCGGGTGCATCGGGGATACACCAAACGCAAGACGCCGCTCATATCCAGCTGCCTTGGGCCCTATCTTAGCAGCATCAAAATCTCCGTCCGGTCGACGAAGAGTAATCAAGGTTCCCTTTTTCTTGTTTGACAGCGCCGCGACACCGAGCTCTTGATCCAAGCCAGCATTGACGGTATCAACAGCGTAGATCAACTCATCTCCTGTAATGGCACGGACCTGGTCCAGGACATCGGCATCTCTTCGATCGATAAAGTGAGTAGCTCCGATGGCCTTGAGGTTTGCTTCATTCTGTTTCCCAGCAATCACAAGGATCTGACCTATTCCCACCAACTTCGCAAGCTCAACGACGGCTCGTCCCGTGTTGGAGCCACCTCCGATGACGAGAAGGCTGATACTAGAGTATTCAAATGACTTGGCCTCAGATGCGAAAGGAGCAGGAATTCCATGACCCGAGGGGGCAAATAGGGTAATAAATGCTGCTAGAACGATGACTGGAATTGTCGATGCCTCGTCGTCAGTCAACCCACTCCCGGCAACCCTGCCCACAAACCTCGCATCAACGAGGGCATATTGCTGCGCAGCGTTGAAGTCATTGTTGAAGCCCCCTTCAGCAAAGGTGTGTCCAAAAACATGCTCTCCAAGCGTGAACTTGGCGGAGTGCTCTCCGGCTCCGACAGTCACTACTTCACCGACGATGTCGCTGGCAATGATGTACGGCATGCTGCTAATAAACAGGCCATCGTCACGGGTTCTCTGGTCGTGGGGGTTTACTAAAATTAAATCAGTCTCGGGTGCTCTCCGTAGGTAGGAAAACATATTCCTGGAACTTACGGCCAGCAACAAGGACCTTGACCAGTAACTGGTTCTCACTAGGCTCTGGGATTGATCTGTGCCCTACGGTCAACGGTTTGCCCACCTCCTCAAGTAAAAGAGCTTTTTGAGACATTGTCGTTTGCGTTTTTAGATTTGTTAAATGAAGTTGGGGATAGAAGCATAGAAAGAGGGTAAATTTATACAAGAATAGCATTGTTTATAGGTCACTAATAACTTACGGGATCACGCCATGGGAGGCTTTATTAGATTCCTTATCTTACTAATTCACATACCATCTAGCAGCTAATAGATACTCCAGAACAATTTGATGCCCTGTCACAAAAAGGCGTGGATGCTAGATCCGTATATCCAGGCCACGTTTTCTTTCGGCTTGATTGGTAAGCGTGCGATGGCGTCAAAACAGACTTCAACCCGCCCCCGATTTAGTAAGAGTCCCGAAAGCCTCGCTACGAGATACGTCGCATGGGATGTTCACTAATCACCTACATCAATATTACAAGTTTCCTACACCAATTCTTTACATAATTTAACTCGTGACAAATATAATCCGAAGTAAATATATATACAGGAAAGCTAAATAGTCTATATTAAGACCAGAAGTCTATAGTCTCTGGAAGGACCTGGGTAGATAGTATACAGAAAGGGAAGGAAAACTGGCAGTGTCTATAGCTATGCTTTCATCCCGAGGTTTGACATCATGGTCTCGGACCCTTCTAATGTAGTACGGCTATAATCCCCATGCTTAGTAGATCCATTGGGAATGTAGAAGCGCTTGTCAATGCGACTGAATGTCAAAACGCAGAGAATAAGGATCTCTAGCATAAAGTTGAAAGCGTAGAAGCATGCCTTGGAATGGTACCAGGCCGGGTTGGAAAGCTGCCGTGGAGGACTCCAGAGGGAACCCGCTTTAAAGCCTGCAATTGTAATACACATACAAGTCGACAGCGTTACAATCAATACCTTGGCCCTCATGCTTCCCGCTCCGAATGTCTCTTCATCGTTATGGCGGGGCACGAGCATTGCAGCGGCAAGCTGGATAATGGGAACGCAGGTGAAGACCAAGAGGAATGTAATGGCGGCGAGCAGTACATCGCGACAGGCAGAGTGAACCTGTGGACTAGGAGAGTATAGCTGTACGACAGTCGACACAATGACCATGACCAATGCTCCAGGTATAAGGCAGTATAATATCTTGGTGCTGAATCGCAGAACCGGATGCCATCCAATCCGCGGTTGTTTAGCGCGTAGGATACGTTGGGAGAGGATGATGTTGATGATGTAGATGAGTAAAATGCCGGCATTCACCAGGATGTTGGCTGCGATAGCAAGGCGAACATTGTGGCTTCGATTCGCCCAGGCAATACGCAAAACAAGAGTTGTGACTCGTGCCATGCAGAAACCAAACATGACGCCAGAGAGTATGAATTTGTGGTTTCGTCGACGGTTCTTTTGGAAAATCGTCATATTCGTGGCGGCAAAGCAGATGTAGAGAAAGATGAAGACGGCGCAGATGGGAGTGTCGATGTCATTGCTGGGAACGCCACCAGCACTCGCGGTTGTTGGAGGATATAAACGGCCACGTTTCGTAAGTGAGGATATCATGGTGTTGAGTCGAGTAGAGGAGTAAGAAAGATTAGGGTCTAGTATGTAGAAATGAGTGTTGGTTGCTGGTTATTGTCCCGGGAGTGTCGTCTACTTATCATTTATATAATCTATACGGCACGGATACTCGCCCTTGCCCTTGGCGGTCTCATCCCCCCTAGTTTTCCACTCTTCTTGAGACTCTTATTGGACATAACAGTGCCAGAACCTCACTTGATTTCGTTATTGGCGTTGATTATTCAGATGTGCTTGGACCCGCCGCGGATCATGGGTCGTGGTGTAGGCGCCTTGCCTAAACGTGATTGGCTATCCAATGACGACTATGGCTTTAAAGGGCAAAGCGCCATCGGAGGCCCATCTCGTCCGTTTTCCGCGGCCCAAAATTGCTTCCGAACCTCCGCATTACCTTTGCACTACTGTAGGTTTCTGCGTGTATGCCTTGCCCATTCATATGAAAGATATTGCAGTTAGTGCCTCTCTTTGCGTGCAATCCGGGTTATTCGGGCTATTCTTATTGCCAATTTCCAGGTGGACCTCCTGCTCGCCATGCCTGCGCAGCAAACCCCCCCGTTCTCGTTCCGGAAAGGCACTAAGAGTTGCACAGAGTGTATGTTGCTTTGTACCAACCAAATCTCAGGGGCTAACTTGTAGGCAGGCCGGAGACGGAAGATCCGATGTGTTCGGATCCCAGAGGACTCGTCGACCTGTCGACAATGCGTAGAGCGTAACACTTCGTGTCTTGCTCAAGTATCGAAATCTCGCACACGACAGGCGCAGCGCCTCTCCTCGCGGTACCGGATCATGCAGCTCGAGTCCCAGGTCAGTCAGCTGACCAAGACTATCAACGATATACAAGTCAAACTCGGCAGCGAGTCCATCCTCCATCTGGAGCAGCAAATTGATCAATCGCCCGTCAGTGAGGGTTCCGATGACGAATCCACCAACTCAGAAGGGCTCATCGCAGAGGAGTCGTCTGACTTTCGCTCGCTTTTCCACAACGATATCCTCAGCTCTGATACTGGCCAGCAGCATGAGCAGATATCAGAACGACGGACCAAGGCAATGGTTTCCCTATGCGAACGCGTACGACCGGCGTTACAGCGACTGATCCCATCCAAAGACGAGACTGCAGAAATGCTGGTAGTCACTTTCGATTGGCTACAGATGTTGGCTTCGCTGCTGCCACAACCGGCTGCGGCAGACTCGCATAATGCATTGCTTGCAAGATACGACGATATGTGTCGACCAGATGTTGATGTTGTTGAACTTGCTTCTTGGCTCTTGACCGTAGCCATCACGGCTCAGCAGATACCACAAGAAAGCAGGGACATGAAGCCACAATCCATTGGATCTAGAAGACGCTTACATTTCTCAAGGGCTGTATCGGACGCCATTGAGACTCTAGTGCTTAGCAACGACCGGCTAGTTGGTAACATCCATGGCCTTGGGCTGGGCCTCCATTTCGTTCGTCTGTAAGTGAGAGCTACTGATCCTGTTGAGAACTCGAATATCGTGCTGCCTGATACATGCATACAAGTGTCTGACTGAGATCAGGCTGATGGGCCGAGGGGACCTTCAAGGGGCCTGGTTGAAACTTCGGCACTTTATTGCCCTCGGCGAGCTGATGGCCTTACCAAGGGCAGTTCAATCAACTGGGTCCAAAACTGCCAACGGGCTCCAAGACGAAGACACCGCAAGGAGGGCACAGGTATGGGAGCTCATGTGCACCGTCGACCGCCTGGTGGGTATGTTTGTCAATCTCCCCCCTTACACCAGAAGGTCCTCCAACATGGCCAGCCTCCTTGCTATCATGGTGGACGGTGCCGTGCAGACTTCTGTTTACCTCAGTAGGCTCATGGACATTGCCGCTGAAGGCCATGGCCTCGATGATCCAAGTGGGATGCAAGGATCGAAGCCAAGCTTATACGTAGCTTCGCTGGAAGTTGCCCATAAAGCAAGGGCTTTGTTTAGTGAAACGCCCGAATCTTGGTGGGCCATCAACAATGACGACGACCTAAAACCAGATCACATCGTCCAGTTTGTTCACCACTGTACAGTCATGAAAGCATATCTCCCCATTGTTCACCATCAAGAAAGAAGCCAAGACTACGGATACAGCCGCCTGGCGTGTATTGATGCCTGCGAAAACGTCGCTCAAATGTATCAGTTCATCCGCCGGAAACTTCCATCAGGTTTCTTCAGTCTCAATGTGCTCGATCTCCAAGCCTTCACAGCCGTCATACTATTACTCCTCCTGTCTCATAGCTCTCCTTTCCCCGAAGCACATAGCTTTCAGATCAACAAGTCTGGCCTGGAGGCTGTAGTGTCCCAGGTCATCCTCCTTATGGAAGAGAAGTCAAACACGGTCCTGGGCTCAGATTTTGCACGGCGTGGTGCTCATACAATTCGCTCCCTGCGCCACCTTCTACAGCAGGATGAGAGTGCTGGCAGCTCTATGAACGAAATGACAGTCAATGTGCCGCTCATAGGCAAGATTCGCGTCCGCCGAAATGCGCAAACTTCACTCAATCTCACAGCCCACAGCCAGGAATCGTCCATTCAAGATCCACAGGTTGGTCACTGGAGCCTCGAGGAGCAGGTGACGCCGACTCTGTCTAGTTCACAGTTAAATGCAGGGACTAGCCCCCAAAACTCTGCCAATAATACGTCATTGGTGCCAGAATTGCAGTGGGATCAATTCCTGTGGTCAGTTGAGGACTCAGGCGAGTCCGCGCTTGATGATGCTATTTTGAGTAATGGATTTGACCAAGCTAGTTTGTGGCTGAACATGTTTTAGAACTCCTCATTTAGTTTAACATACATATTGGCCATCTTTAACTTCACTGCGGGAGCAGTGGGTATTCTGTTCATGGATAAAATTTGAGATCCTTTGCACTTGTTTATCATCTGCCCCATGGAAGGATTCTGGCATTCAACTTAAGGGCTTAGAAATATTTAGTCTAAGCCTACACTAAATTATTCTAGCCCTCCCTAAGGCTTGGCGTTGCCTAGGATTGAGGTACCAAGTTTCGTGGGCCAGATGGTGCGAGGAGTAAGTCACGGTGTGAGTCATGCTCGTGTCAGGCGCCTAAAGTTTAAGCTTATGGCCAGCGAGTGATCAAGTGAAAGATGGCTGCAAAAGTATATTTAAACGCATACTGACAAAGGCTTTATGCAACAAACTCTATGCGTCATACTTAATAGCCATTTCCCACAAAGCAAAACCCCTTCACGCACACGTTCAGCTACGACAGAACATTCAACCTCCAAACCGCCTTTCACCCACTTCGCAAAGGGAAAATCGCATTGTTTCTAACTCGACGAACATGGACCTCCTCGACGAGCTGGAAGCTATGGCCCAAGCTGCATCAGCATTTCAAGAAGACGATAACATACCTGAATCCACTATTGTTCGGTGGCAACAGCAATTTGGCTACTCAGCTGCCATGGCAAAGAGAAAGATCATGGAGCACCGCAATGATCCCTTGCATTTCACTGTTTCTGACGATCACTGGACTCTTATGCGAGATCGAATGGAGGCTGAAGGACACGACCGCGAGTCTTATGAACATTCTTACAATCGCACCTCGCATGCTGCAGTCAACCAGCGTAAAGAGGTGACTATAGAAGAGAAACGAAGGCTCCGAGATTCTGTCTTCTTAATCAAGCTCGAGGGGCCTTTTAGCAATGTCCAAGCTATGCTTCATGCCAGGCTTTAAAATACCCAGCCTACAGGTATCTATAGGTACCTATTTAATAGAGGTAAGTACCTAGAAATACCTATTCTAGATACCTACCTATAGGCAGGT